GAAACTATGCCCCAAAAAAAGAAACAATGCAGCAGCACATGCATTTAGAGAAGTCAAGGACAATAAAAGAATCAGAACCATTTGAATGTATGTGATATTGCAGTAATTTAATAGCAACATATAACTTGGTTGGGGAATGTGGGATTTATACAGTGTGATTTATATATGAGAACATACCTCCCCCCCAAAAATATATTTGTGAATTTGACTCCCTAAAATAAGAGTCAGAGCATATATTTCTAGGACAAGTAATGAAAAATTAAATGTGTTGCCAGAGACAAGAACACCCCAATATCCTACTGTAAATGAAAAATCGGTAAGAGATAGCAACAGGAAACAAAAAGAAGAAACAAAGAAGGATCACCACTTTTCACTAAGAGCAAATGCCATAGGAAAGGTACTTTATGCTCCCAAGACAGTCTGCCTAACCCACTATGTTGTAAAAATCAGCGGTGATGTCAAATTCGTATTTGGTAGGTAACAGAACTAGTTGTGAAGAACAACAAAGGAAATCTATGGTGTCCTACTCAATCTGACATTGAGTACTAAGTGTCCAGTTAAAGATAATACTTGAATTAGATGTTGTGACGTTGCACTCTATATGATTTTATGAAAGTATGCTGATGAGTGTGAACATAATGTAACTAAAGCATGCTTCATGAAAAAGATCTCTTGTAAGGTATCATTACAAAGCTTATAATCTACTGAGTGTGGTCATCCTATTTCTATAAATGTATCACTCTTGTATCTGAAACTAGAAATAAAATATAACTTTGAGGGCCTATTGTAATTATGCAAGGTGTGGACCATTAATGGTGGTTTGGAATCTTGATGGCTCCCATCAACCAGGACAATTGACTGTAAATGGCTCTGTTTTACTTGTAAGTCTTCCTGTATACGTGTGTGTCACCTGACCTGGAATCCATCTTTAACCTGGTGCTTTTCCATTGAGAAGGAGGGATGGGAACCCAGAGGGACAAAGGATTCCCGCATTATGCAAAAAATATACAAGTGTGTGGAACAGAACAAAGGGACAGACATCATGAGAAATCCCCTAGCTACCACCTGAGCTGGAACAAGGGCTGTACCAGGGGAAAGGACTGTGCCTGGACTAGGAAGGCGTTCAGTCTGTGAAAGAAACTTATTGAAAACATCTCTGGGAGTGAGATTTTATCTGTAATTCAGTTTTATTACTGTATTAGGCGTAGATTTGCATGTTTAATTTGATTTTACTTGGTAATTCACTTTGTTCTGTCTGTTACTACTTGGAACCTCTTAAATCCTACTTCCCGTATTTAATAAAATCACTTTTTACTTATTAATTTACCCAGAGTATGTATTAATACCTGGGGGGAGCAAACAGCTGTGCATCTCTCTCTATCAGTGCTATAGAGGGCAAAGAATTTATGAGAATTTATAAAGCTTATACAGGGTAAAATAGATTTGTTTGGGGTTTGGACCCCATTGGGAGTTGGGCATCTGAGTGTTAAAGACAGGAACACGACTTACGTGCCTTTCAGTTAAGTCTGCAGCTTTGGGGCACATGGTTCAGACCCAGGGTCTGTGTTGGAGCAGACTGGCATGTCTGGCTCAACAAGACTGGGTGCTGGAGTCCCAAGCTGGCAGGGAAAGCAGAGGCAGAAGCAGTGATGAGCTGCCAAAAATCTCAGGACCCCCCACCCATGTCCTGCCCCCGACTGCCCCCCCTCAGAAACCGCCCCAGCCCCGACTCCAGCTGTGCAGCACTGCCCGGCTCCGGCCTGACCCCAGGCCCTGGCCCCAACTCCAGCCGCGCGCCCCGGGCCCCGGCCCAGAGCTGCACCACGCAGCTGGGGCCCGGGGTCGGGGCCTGGCCCGGTGCTGCGTGGCCGGAGCCTGGGGTTGGGCAGCGCCGCTCGGCCGGAGTCCAGGCAGGGGCCCAGGCCGCGCGGCTGGAGTCGGGGCCAGGGCCTGGGATCGGGCCGGAGCTGGGCAGCGCCACACAGCCGGAGTCGGGGCTGGGCAGCGCCGCACCTGGAGCCCTCCTCGCACCCCGCCCCCACCCCAGCGAAGCAGGGGAGGGGGAGGAGAAGCCAGGGGAAGTGTCAGGGGAGGAGGCGGAGCTAGGTGAGCTGGGGCCGGGGGCAGGGCAGGGAGCTGCCAGAGATTTTGTTAAATGTAAAAGCCCTTTTAGAACCGGGACAACCCGTTCTAAAAGGGCTTCTAAATTTAACAACAGGTTCCCGCAAACCGGTGGGAACTGGCTCCAGCTCACCACTGGGCAGAAGTAGTCTTGGCACATCAGTTGGCAGTTCCCAAGGGGGTTTCTGGGATCCAACCCGTCACAGATGTATTCAGCATTTAGAAACAGCTGGAACCATAAACTCCCTAAACATTAAATCTCACCAAATGAGGGTCAACCCATCCTCATCATCATATCCACTCATTATAATCCACACCCGAACATATGAACTTCATATCCTCATATCTCAATGTCTGTATTTTGACCAATCAGCCTTTTACCCCCAATCGGGGATATTGCAGATTATGTATTCCTCATGCCACCTTATCTTAAACCAAACTTTGCACCCTCTATAATCTGTATGTTATTCCCTGATAACCAGAAACTTCTATGCTCAAACTCTGTTCACTAGTTTTTTAACATCATCTTCATAAAATTTTTATATCTCTCCAACAAGATTTGACTTTAGCACAATCAACTAAAACAGTGTTAATTTCTAAGAGCCCTTCTTAAAGGTGTGTCACTGCTCACTATATGCAGTGCTTAGTAGAGCATTACAGAATCCACAGAATGCAAGCTGAAAGGCTCGTTTTTTATTTTTGCAGCCATTTGGGGGGAAGTTGCCAAATGCAATCATCGAAATATCTATGAAAACAGGAAGACATCTGCCTTGTTCAGAGTCAAGATTAGGCTGCACAGTATCTAATTACGAAAGGCAGTGCAGCCTCCCTAGCCAGAAACTTTAAACATGTCTACTCAAAGAGAGCTCTAATATGTACTGACTTTCAAAGCTGGAATACTTCAAAAACTTTTTATGATGCTGTTTTTATTCCCCATATGTAACAAAATGTCTCCCAATATTTGATGCTCAAAAGCATCCACCAAGCGGCAAGCAACAAAATGTTTGCAACACAAAAATTCTAATGTAAAACAAAATGAACATATAACTTCAGAAATATAGCAAACATTTATTGCAAGACACTGTTCAGTTTATGTTTCCTTAGAAGAGTACTACATATTCAGCAGATTTGAATAAAAGTTGAATAAGCATTTCCAATTATACCTGACTAACAGTTATTTAATATAAAAATTTCATTTTTCTTCAGCGCCAGAAGCCTAAATTTCAATTTGCTGGATGATTAATACTTTCTATCCCTAACGCACACACACACACACAAACCCCTTTGTTGTAGCAGTTCTACTCAGTGAAATTAATGTATCTGGATAGCTGTGTATGGAACAATGGAGGATGGGAGAAAGAGGTGATGAGATGGACTGAACTTGCTGGAGATAACTGATAAACATTACTATGAAGCAATTCTGGATGAAAGGAGATTGGTCTACTCTTCTGTTTACATGGTAACCACTGTCCCATTGGTCTTTCCATTGACCTCTAAGAGCTATACCTTAAACAAGAACAACGCAAAACACAAAGTTTCACTGGTAATATGATTTTAGTATGAGCTACACAAGGACCTTTTTGGACATCAGTCACACACAAAAAAAGAGGCTTAATGTGGGGGGAGAGGTTTCTGTGTGGGGCAATCTGGGTGCGGGCGACTCAGTGGGAGATCTGGATGTACAGGGCCTCGTTGGGGGGTTTTGGGTGCCGGGGCAATGGGACTCTGTGGGGGATCCAGGTGAAGGTGGCTGGGGTTCAGCGGGGGGGGTCTGGGTGTGGAGAGATGGGGTTCAGGGGGGGGGGGTTGGTGCTGGGGGCTCGAGTGGGGGAGGTCTGGGTGCTGGGTGAGTGGGCTTGATGGGGTGGGGGTCCAGGTGTAGCTGGTTGGGGTTTAGTGGGGTGGGGGTCTGGGTGTGGGGGGGCTG